CATATTGTCGGTCAAGTACTTCTTAAACTGCGACTCAATCGGGAACTGATTGGTCAACAGCGACAAGTAGTGGCGGAGTTTGTTATGGGCGGTGATGATCGTGCCGTGACCTTCCGTGTCGTACTGGGGACGACCGGCGCGGCCGAAGATCTGCATCACGTCCAGCATCGAGATGTCCACGAAGTTGCCGTGCGATGAGTCGTACATTTCGGTCCCTTTGATCACCACCTGAAGAGACAAACAAACAAAAATACAATTAGATATCAATTAAAAAACACCACAAAAAACAGATAATAGGGCAAAAACAGGTGTCCGTACGGAATGGGCGGGCAGATTGACACCCCAGGCGAGTGTCGCCGTGCAGACCAACACGCGTATAACGCCGGCGCGGAACAGCTTCTCGACCAGATTCCTGTCCATCCGTAACATTCCCGCGTGATGTATGGCAAAGCCGGCCTCAAACAACTCCTGGAGGCCCTTATGGCGGGCGCGGCGTATCTCTCGTGCGCTGTCGACCATCTTATCGGTCTCGCACTTAAACACCGACATCGACTCCGACTTGCGGGCCCTGTCCAGCAGATTAGTGGCCGTCCGGTACGTGGCGTTGCGCGCGTGAACGAAGACCATCACCTGATGCCCTTTCGACACCTCTTCCCGCACTTTCTCGTAGCAAACGTCGTCCATATCGCGCATCTGTTGCATAGTCTGAGTGGCTTTGCAACCGATGAATGTCTGGGTGAGCGGCACCGGACGGAACCGGTTGTCAAACATGAAGAGTCCGGCCCTGGGATTCACGCGCAAGAATTCGGCCACATCTCGATAGTTGGGAAGCGTCGCCGACAGACCCACCATACGGATCATCATCTGCGCCGACTCGATGTACCGCTTGGTTCGGGCGACCAGCGCCTCGAGCACCGGACCCCTGTCCGACTGCAAGAGGTGCACCTCGTCTATGATCACCAGCCGTACCAATTGGAGCAGCTGTACGTCACCCTTGGCTTTGCGGGTCACCACATCCCACTTCTCTGGGGTCGTGACCAGCATTTGAGTGGCCATTATCTCGGATTTGCTGAGTTGCATATCGCCCGTGAGTTCGCGGACACGCATACCAAAGGGCGCCAAACGTTTGCCAAAATTCTCGGTCATTTCGGCGGCCAATGCTTTCATGGGCGCGATGTATACGATCTTAAACTGATCCAAATGGATGTCATTGATGGAACCGGTGGGTGAGTTGGCCCGGATCTGAGCCACGATTGTGAGCATCGCAACGTTGGTCTTACCGGCGCCGGTGGGCGCGCAGATGAGCATATTCTCGTTGGTGGTGTCGGCCGTCTTGAACACTATCGACTGGATTCGGTTCAACTGTTTGACCCCTTTGAAGGCCGCCCTCCCGAACGCGTCCAACGCTTCCACGTCTATCAGCTTATAGTCGGCGATAACGGTGTCGGGCGGTGGCGGCGGCGCCGGTATCGTAATCTCTTCCCACAGGCGGCGGTCTTTGCGCTCGAAGCCCAACGGGAGTGTCATTTTGGCGCCCGATATGAACGCCGCCGTGGATTTGGTCTCTTGGAGGGCGTCGAACACGTAGGGATAGTCGGCTTTGTCGAGCACTTCCACGGCTGGGCCGCCTTCGCGGAAGAGCGGGCCCATCATCGCGGCGTACAGTTGGGCCTCGCGTTGCTGTTTCATGCGCTCAATGTCTTCGATGGTGACGGCGCCGCCGGCGACACCTGTTCCTCGCCCTCTCTGTACAGCTCTTTGTTAAGCTTTTTCTCCAGTTTTCGCATCTGTTTCTTCAGATTCTTCTCTTCCGACGTCTGGACGACTACTGACGGGGCGATCGCCGGTCCCCTCTCGCGCGGCACGTGAACCGCCAGCGCCTTATCCCGTGTCAACTGAGACCAACCTCTCGGGCCGTGCGATTGGTCGGTGTTGGCTGTGGTGTCGGCTGAGCCACCCATTTGGTCGCAATACACCTGTTTGTAAGACTCCTTCACTCGTTGCCTGTATTTCACGAGTTTCTCAATGAGTGGCAAACAGTCGTCGCCGAGAAGGCTGTGCAGATCTCCGGCCAACTCTTCGTCCGATTTGCCATCCGATTGGACCCAATCCATGACAGTGTCGGCCAGTGTTTCGATATTCATATAGAACTGTTCGCTATTCTTCTGGAAATAGTTGTCGATATACTTGTTTAGCTCCCGATTAAGCCATTCCACGTCATAGACGTCTGACTCCCGTTGAGTAGCGGCGGTGTTAGCCGTAGTGTTGGCCGACATATACTCGCTGTACTTCACGTACTTTACGGGCTTCTTAACGGATCCCTGACTAGCCATCTGTGACTTCTGTTGGCACTCATTGGCGGTGTTTTTGTACTGAAACGACAGTTCATACCCTTTGGGCTTATCGTTGCGTTCGGCGGCCGAGCGGTCGGCGGCGCGAGTGAAGGGCATACGCGGGACAATCGCACACATCTCCTCAAACGTGTAGCGCTCTTTGAACGGATCGATATCGAGATCTTTGTACTTATAGTCACTCCACTCCTCCACGTCCTTATACCGGGCCAACGGGTCGTATATGTCGTCACCGGTGCCGCCATTGTTGGCCACGTTATAGCCGTCCAGCGATCGGCGGCCGTTGAACTGCGGCCGCGACCGGAACGGCATAAACAGCCGCTCCCTGTCCTCCGTGTCCATCAGGTCGAGCAACGTCTTGGCGCACTCGTAGGCGCCGTTCACCAGCTGTGTGTTCACCTCTTCCTCGCCAAACATCGTGACCAACTCGTGGACCTGTTGTGCGGTGACGCCGGGCGTCGACTTCATATACTTCGCGTCGTGAAACACTTGCAACACATAGACCGCCGCCGACTCCACCAAATCCATGGCCGCACCGATGCCGACAAACTCGCGCCCGATGTCCAGCGCTCGGCGCAGCAGATCCTGACACTCTTTGTCCGACACGTGATCCCTGCGGTGATCGCCCGTCCGGCGGGCGGCGCGCAAGCCGTCGGTGAAACAGTCCCTGACGTCCGGCCAGTGGGCGAGTGAATTGCGTTGAGTCTGTTGTAGCACTCGGTGGCGCTGAAGACGATAGAACTGGCGGTCGTCGCACTCGTCGAACTCGTTGGGCGGCCGCGAAATGTTGCCATACGTACGGATATAGTCAGACACTCGGCCGCCCGTCCACTGCGGCTGAGTCTTCATCACCGGCGGTGATATGGGATGCGTTGCTGTTGTGGCCGACAGTACACTCACAGACACTGACAGACCAGTGATGTCTGGCTGTGATGTTGTTGTTGGTGTGAGTGTTGTGGCCACTGATGGTGTCTTCAGTCCCTCTGGAAGTAGTTTTGGTGATGTTTTTTGCTGTGAAAATAGTGTTGTTTTTGTCACTCAAAAAACGTTATGAATATGTTTTTCAATGACTTCACGTGTCGTTCACTGCAATCGTCAAACACTATGACATTTATTGGACGTTATTTATGGCGGTTTACGAGTGTTTGTATTGCAGTGTAGTATTGGTAACACAATTGCCCATCAATTATGTCTACAATTGTTGTGTATATTTACTGAACGCTGCGATTAGTGGCCAATAGATGTCTATACTATTTGCGAGAGTTTTTGTGGTTTCAATGAATTTAGTTTTATCTGAATTTTACAGAATATTCTGTATATTCTGTGCGTTTGTATTAATGATAGGCTTTGCTATGTATTTGTTGTATATATTGACTACAGGTTATGGGTTTATGTGTTGCTTATACTTAATTGTATGCAACACTGATTTGTGAGGGCACATGTAGTTTCTAATGAAGGTTTTGTTATTTTCTAATTCACCATGGTTATTTAATTTGCTAAATTATTGATACAAATTATTAAATATACTGTTTATTACAATTTGAATTAATATAACAAATGTTTTCAAAGCAATAAATATTAAATTTATAAATATATTGTGTATTAAAAATGAGTTAAGAGATCTATTTATACAGATCTATTTGTGCGGTGCTCGGAGTACTCGGAGGGCTCACAGCTCTGGTAACTGTGCCTATAAAATAGCAATGAGTTTAAAACTATTATCTCATTTAAAGCATACAACGAATACACTATTAAAATCAATTAAAACCTTTGTTTGCGTTATAAAAGTATCCAATGATTGCAAACAAAGAGACGATAAATAGGATTAAAATAATTGCAATTAAAACCAATAGAGGAGTCATTAGTGAAGAGGAATCGGAAGAACTGTGTCTCGGCTTTGCTTTTGTTGTCGTTTCTGAAGATATTGTCGTTTCAATGATAGCATTGACTATCGGTGTTGTGGTCATCGGTATTGCAAACTTTGAACACAGAAATCTGTCTTTCAAATCCACATTCTGTGACCAAAACAGCAAAAAACATACAATAGTTAAACAAAAGTCTTTAATGCTCTCTCTCTCTCTCTCTCTCTCAACGAGCGCCTTCAGCGGCGCGATGTACACCACTTTGGCCGCCGGCCGTGTGTTAAACGTGCGAAACATCGCGATCTCAGCGCATATGGTTTTGCCCGAACCGGTGGGCGCGCCGACCAACACATTGCCGTCCGTGTGGTATAACGTGTGAAATATCTGTGTCTGAATCGGATTAAAATGTGTGTTGGCTATCTACCTGAGCATATCGCCTAACAACTCGCGACAGTGGCCGTTGCCTAGGTTTAGGTTCTCAGCGCACATACCCTGTTTGAAAAGCCCGTTTTAGTCAACGGCTGTGCCTTCGCTGTGTACGAGTTCGCAGCCCAACCATCGGTCAAACCCGCAGTGAATAATGTACTGCGAGGGCAGTGAGTCCGGGTCGAGGAGCGGTATGTTGAACGTCACCTTCTGGGTCTCGGCGTGGATCACCTGTCTCTTCGACAACTTAAACAGTTCCGAGTGATAGATGTGATTGCTGTCGATGTCGGACAGCCACAGCCAAAAGCTCTCGCACACTTTGCCGTGATGGCGGTCATCCCAGCGGAACGTCGGCTTAATCATCGCCTCCACCATCAGCACTGTACGGGTGATGGGCTTAATGCACGCCTCGACCGCCACCGACGGCAACGTGTCGGCCAATCGCTTCAGTATCGAGCCGTACGACGTGTGGCGCACGAGTCGGCCCAAGTCGTCGGCCGTCATCTGTTTGATGAGCTCAATGGTGAGCGGGGGCTTCAGGCGCTCCAGTTTGCACATCACCTCGAAGCTGATCTCGTTGCCAAACTGTCGCAACGGTGTCTCGTAAGCCCATTGGCGGCGCTCAAACATCAGCGACAGCCGCAACAGGTGCTCTGCCAACAGCGCCCAACCCTTTTTCACCACGTAGTCGAACAGACCTCTGGCTATACGGTTCACGTTCTGTGCGTTAAATTAGAAGATAATTAATATCACAAATAGTAGACAACAAGTGGGCGGACAGGTGTATGTGTCCGCCGCCCCGACCGACGCATACCTGCATCACAAACATGGTATCGGACACGAGTGAGAAGCTGTCGATCTTAGCCCGTGATAGTTGTGATTGCATTAGAATATTCACTTTGCCGTTCTTGTTCTCCACACCGCCGGGAACGCCGAGTTGGCACTCGTGCCGCAACAGGTCCTCCAACTCTTCGAACTCGTCCTCACGTGACTATACAGTAAAGCAAAAACCAATTTATTAATCACTTTAACATAACATTCTAGTGGTACAGGTATTTAGCTATACCTTCAATTGGTCGAACTCCTGAGCGGTGGCAATCATGGCAAAGATGGCCCTCTCGTCCATCATATCGCTGATCAATTCGTTAAACTTCATAATCGTGTCGTATTTGATATAGTAATGGCTGGCC